TTTGTATCATTTAACTGAAGCATTGCAAAATGTGTCATGTCATTGGCATTTCAGTTACGTGTTGAAAGACTCCCGGGTGGTCTATCTCGACTATAATTGGTTGATTACAGCGAGCAATGTGTTCTTCGTTTGTCCACCACTTGAAATGAATATCTCTTTTTTTCCTAAGAATATCTGCTCCAAAAGCCACTTTTGCTGCTCCGAAACACTTTTAGCTGCTCCAAAAGCCAGTTTTGCTGCTCCAAGACTCTGTTTTGGCTGCTCCAGAGGGTGCTCCAAAACGGTTTAGGCCAATCACATCATTGCATAAGTGACAAATGATGCGGTTCCAGATAACGTGATTTTCATTTGACCTTCCCAGTGATGCAACAAGGTAGTTGAAACATTGACTGACAATTACTTAATTAAAAGCACCCTTCGCAATTATAACAATCCTGTTTTCCGCTCGCAAGTAGTTTGTGCTAAAATGAAACAATATTGCTTTTTAATCCACATTATTTTGCAATTTTCATGTATTTGTATAAAACTAAACAGAATTATCATGCTCGACGTTGCACATCCGACATTCCTAACTCTTCCCATCTTCCTAAATGTTTGTGTGTGTCCTAACACCAGAAACAGTCATTTTAAAGGTTAAAAACGACACATTGCGAATATGGGATGTACACTTTCATGCAAAGCTGATGTCAAGGGACTCAAACCGATAAACGTGCATATTTACAATGATGTTATCTCTTCTGGTGACAGGGGCGGATCCAGAACTCCGTTTTGGGGGGGGGGGCGGGGGGGGGGGGAAATTTTTTTTGGAAGGGGGGGGGGGTCGGGAAAATCTAAAGTAGCATAAACAGGACTCCGGTTGCGCCTTTTGTTTTAGCCGCCGCAAAGCCCCACAGCGCCGACAGCCCCTAGATGTGCACCACTGCACTGACTTATTGGCTCCAAGCCGTGCTTTGAAACTGCCGCCGTAGGCTTCAATCTCGGTTGAATAGTGGTTCTCCAACTTCAGAGTACAGGTGTGCCTGCTAGGGTGCGACCTACCCTATTTTGAACCCTCGTTCTTGAGTATCGAGCCTTCTGCACCTGGCGGGCCGGTAGTCGGTTTTATTTCGGAGGGTCCACCCATGTCAAATTGCCCTCCGAGAAGGGGGGGAGCGGGGGGTGGTCGCCCTCTCCCCTTGGATCTGCCTTTATTTTAACAATGTAAACACACTTGCGCTGATGAGGCCTCAAGACTGAAACTCTCGTAGCGTGATTCGTGACTGCGCCAGCTACTACCCAGCCTCGTTGTCACGCCACTTCTGCAAGCAGTCACTAAAATTGCCAGTAAACACATAAAAATGACACGTATATGTATTCTACAAATACTTTTATCTTGTAAAATATCACTTTATTTATTAGTAATAACTGTGTTAGTATCGATTACATGTTGTATTTAAGTTAAGAAAAAACAACATAAAACCTTTTTTTCGCAAGAAAAAAACTAAATATCAATGTTAAGTCTGGGAACAATGTATTCTTGCCAAATCTTTGTGGAATCTTTAGAAAAGTTCGGTTTTGCGGAATCCTAAGATATGGCGTCAAATTTTCGATTCAGCGAAAGTTCAGCCCATCAGCAGTATTAACCCTCTCCCGCTGCTCTCGTTCACGCCGCTTCAAGGGTGATAGTCTGCGGCTGCTCATTACAAAACTATGAGCTATTAACCCACCTGGCCCCCTTGAATACGCCGCTTTGCGGCATCCTGCAACCCAAGCCCCGCTTTTCCCCATTGCACTTCCGGAAAGGGGGTCCCATATCATTTCGTTCAGCGAAGTTTCGTCATCGACATGTGTTTTTTTGCAGGGCCATTGTTAAAAAGAAATGTCCTAAATAGTGCCAAATGTACACCAAAACAAAATGTTTGACCAAAAAAAAAAAGTATACCCACTCCTTGGATTGAACCGTGGTCAGCTGCGTATGAAGCGGGCACGTTTCCATTAAGCTACGCTACAGCTTCAGAAACTTGTTTTGACAATTCGTTTTATGCGAGACCCAACAAGCTTAGTATTGTGCGCGTAGCCATTTCCGGTCAAGCTGCACAACGTCTTGCTTATAGCTTTCATCTTTCCCCTTATCTGAACCAGTGACACTGCGCGCTTGACTGCCTTGCTGTCGCGCGTTCCCCATGCCTTTTGTCGTGACCCTCGTTGCATTTCAATTCTCGAAGATGTATTTTGGAGCACTTGGTCGCCTATTTGTTCATAGCTAAATTGCATGTGACATCACGCTGTGGAAGGGGTGGGCCTTGCTCCAGCCATGCTGGTGGTTGGCTTAGCACGGCACGAATATGTTTGCCAAGGTGTAGCATGCTGCTAGCGGCCCAGACATGTGAAAAAAGGCACCTAGTTTTTGACATAAGAACTCAAAACAATGTGCGTAGCTTACGGTGGTGGCGTTCTGCTACACTCCGTTCAACTCTAAGCTGAGAGAGCGGTGGGAGCTACGTGCCCACTGGAAGAATCGGCCGCCACCCTTTCATTGCCTGACCCAGCTCTCTTTGTGTGGGTCTGGGCGGGAAAATGTTGACGTGGCGAAAGAGAGGCGTACGATTCGTCCAATGAGGACGCGAGTGCCACCGTGTTTCGTAGGTCATAAGCGTTGGAGATTCATTATAAGTACAGATGCCGCAAACTCTTTGGCAAACCCGAGGTTCAAAAATCGAACCAAGGATTTCGAAAGGTTTGGAAAGTTTCTAAACGTCGAACTTCTTACAAAAAAAGTCTGATTTTCGAACCTCCGAAATTTTGCCACTGAGAAATTTGATTGTTTCTAAACTTTCAATTTTTCGCTTTATAAAATTAAAAAATTTCCAACTTATCACGCTAAGAAATTCAATGATTTTCAAACCTTTTAAGTTCAAAAGTTTGACAAACTTCGAACTTCTGAGCAAAAGGTAGATGAAGTTCGAACCAAGTTCACCCTCATGGATTCAAGTGGTTCAAGGCAGCAAATGTAAATAACACAAGATGTCATTGTGTGAAGGGGAGTTGAGATTGCACTAGCGCCTTTCTTAGCTGATCGTGCCACAAACAACTTGCTTGTAAAGCGCTGACTGATCACTTTGGTGTGGCCGACCTCACACCTTTTGCTTTTGACTTGTGCACAGAGCCTCTCCTGCATATAACTCCGAGGTAGCCTGTGGGCTAACAGATCTATGATCTGCAGGCTTGAAATTCAACTGAGGCATTTTGCTGGGAGCGTCCTTCATATCATTAGTTGTCTTTGAGTGCAAGTCCCCCGATTTCCGCGAGTCAAGGAAAGGCACGCGCGGAGCACGATGCCAGTGTGCTACGGCAAACACTGAATCAGCGCTTACTTCATTACCGTTAGTAACCAGCTGCATTTTAGAGTGGCCAATATCTCCATTCATCGAAGAAGTTCCAGGCAGCCGCAATATGGTTAGTCTGATAACATGTCGAGACCTCCCCATCCCACGGGTCATCCCGCCAAAAATAAACGCCCAGAAACAAAATTTTTGGAAACGACAGTGCGATTTCTTTCTTGTTCCATTAAAAATGCCAGCATGGTGGGGCGGTGTCATTTTAATTCTTGATATCACATGACGTGAGGCCCCAAAGTAGTCATATAAACCAATCAAATCTAAACATATCACTGGCAAAACTGTGAGTTACAAAAAGCATAGAGGACGAGGTCTGTCCGCAGTAATTCTTCAATTTTATTGCAACATAATTCCCCTGTGCAGGCATGTAATCCCCCCCCCCCCCCCCCCCCCGTCTCCTCCTCCCCCTCCGTAACTTCTACCTGTTTTCTGAGCTAGCACGCTGCTTCAGGATTGTTGCTCTTAGAGCACAGAAACTGTGATGAACGCATCTCGGTTCAAATTGAAAGACATGGCAAGGAATGTGTTACAAGAGTGTTTCAATAAGCTCTACACCCTCTTGGATATTCCTTGTTACAAGGGTGTCTTATTTTGACGGATAATGTTTCAGCTTTGTAGCTCTTAACAATCTTTGAACTTATGGACCCAGTCCCAAAACTTTAGATTCTACCTTGTAGGTGTCTTATGGTTTTCCTTGCTGGTTAGTACTTCCCTGCCATTCCCATGCTGTCTTGACCTCCTTGGTCTGGGATGGTCCTCACTCTTCGTGATAACGGACCATATTGGGCAGAAGATCGAAATATTGGGGGCGCTCTGACCCATTTGTTTCCCCACAGCTCGGTGTTTACTCAACACAAGGCCTGTGCACATACCAACAGGCCTTATGGGCATGTCTATGTCATCTTCTACAATAGAGCGCAGGGCACAGTTTAATGTAAAAAATACTAACAATCGACGAAGCGACGTTAAGTGCCGGATCTATCCTCGGAGAATGCGAGCTTGACCCACTTTGGCTTTTGTGCTGCGCTGGGATCGTACATGCTGCGTTGTTCATGCAGGCCGGAGTTGAAATAAAAGAGCCCCTTCTCCCCCTCACCTGAGAACACGAACTCCAGCCAAACGCTGACGCCGCGTTCGGTTATGTCGGCCGAGCGTTGAGTCATTCATTGTATTTGTTGTCCCCATCCGCGTAGTTCTAAAGTTAACCGCTTGGGGTGTCACGGTCGCTCCTCCTCCCCAATAGGGCACGTATATGCCTACACGTAGAACAAAGGCTTTGTGTTAATAAAGATTGGAATACTTTGAGATAGGTAGGTGGGATGGCTAAGCACAGCTTTCTGGTTCCCAGGTTTTGTTGAATAATTGCAGTCATGCAGTAAGATATCCCTTAAGAGTATATCTTTGGGTGCGGAATGCTCTTCATAAGTTGACTGCACCTGCCTGCAGTGTCACAACCATGCACTGCTGCCCAGGCCACTTGGCTGTTGGCAGGCGTGGACATAAATCAATCTATCCATCTATTGTACTGAGTCGCTGCTTCGCACAAGTTTTAACTTCTGTTTGAGACTGCAAACCAACAGTATTTGCACACACTAAGCTGCCAATCTGTTTTTCTCTAGGTTCTGCCCAGGAGAAGGTGTGGTGCAAAAATGAGCTCGCTGGACATTGTGCAGTCTCTCCAGACCAAGCAGTTGATGCTGGACTTGCTGACCACATCGAAGTTGCCCAAGACCCTGGCAGCTTTCTCCAGGCAGCTAGAGCCAGTCAAAATCATCCACTTCTTTAAGTGCATGGAGTCATTGTGTGACTACAGCACGGACGACAGTGACCTGTTTTGGGCGCACCTGGCAGTCCACCCAGAACGAACATTCAGCTGCAGCTACTGCAGCAAACTGATTGTCAGCGAATCTTCCCTCGTGAAGCACATGGTAACAGTGCACGGCTCCTGTGATTTCCAGTGCCCGTTGTGCTTCTACCGATCCTGCTCCAAGATGCACGTCATCGTCCATACCTTGGTGGTACATAGGTCGAGGCTGGTTCGTTGGTACTTGTGCAAAGCAGTGGCACCCAGTGCAGTTGAGCCCATCTCTCAAGTGGATTTAACTACCAAGTTTTATAGATGTGTTGAAGGTTGTTCATTTCATTGCTTAAGCCCAGAGGTGTTTGTGAAGCATCTTTCTGAAAAGCATTCATGCTACCAGCAGTATACCTGCCACCTTTGCCTCGGGATGGTAAAAAGTCCTAACAGTCTCGTCCAACACTATGCGGCTGTCCACTCATTTCACTTTGTTCAGTGCCTCCACTGCAACTTTGGGCGGGAGACTGCATGGGATGTGCTTGTACATGTTGCCGAGGAGCACGCTGATAAGCCATTCAAAGTCCTTCTTCGTAGCAGTGAAGCAGTTGAGGTGTTCAAGAGAGTTCAGGGCCTGTCTAAGGCTCCCAGTCATGCGGCTATTCCATCACCTCCAGTTTCCTGCCCTGCTCAGCCCATTGCAACATTGAATGAAACCGTTGAGTCGGCTTCCGAATATCAGCAGGAACTTCCGAGCCCTGTGCTCTGTGGCCTTGGGGAATGCACACAGACGTTTCCCACTGCAGAGGTCCTTTTGAGCCACCTTACTAAAGACCACCCAACAGAGTTGGAGCTCTCCTGCCCACTGTGTTGCCAGCTCAGAAATGTACCCTGGGAGGACCTCTGTCTACACATTGTGGATGCTCACACTGAACTTGCACGCTGTCCTTACAAGAAGTGTATATTTGTGTCCAAGACCCAGCAGGCCATTGATGACCACATCATGCATGTTCACCAAAGCTTTGAATCAGAGGAGATTGAGGTACATGGTAAGTCAGAAGAAGCTATACCACCACAAGCAAAGGAACTCCCATGCCCTGAAGATGGTACTGATAATTCAAATGAAACCTGTGGTAGTGCCCAGGAAATTGACGAAACAGAAACTAAGAAATTATACACTTGTAGGATGTGTTACCAGAAGGCAATGCAGTCCCAGGATTATTTTCGACATATGTCCTTTGGTCATGGTGTTAAGTTTTTTTGTGGCCACTGTGAAAAGGGCTACAAGAGTGGCAAACTGTTGTTACATCATCATGAGAAGCATCATCCAGGGAGGCTGGCCTCTGTGAAGAGCTATGAGCACAACAATTTTTCTGAGGTCAGTCCAAGCATTCTTTCGGGTTTTCAGGAAGAGCCACAACAGCTTGTACATAAGAAGACCAAAACTATGAAAAGGACAGATCATTCCGTTGAATGCAACAGGGATAGTGCTTCCAGCCACAGCACTGCCAAGGACAACAACAGATCTTCGAAGAAACTTGCTAACCATCCAGCAGATGCAGGCAATGTATCCATGCATATATTCTGTGGCCATTGCTACAAAAGCTACAAAGTACTTAAACATGTCATCTCCCACATCAACACCATTCATCCGGGCCTACCTTTGGCAATAAAAAGAATGGATATGGCAAAGTTGGAGGATGTCGCCAATGTTGACGAGCTCCTTGAGCGCTCTGCCGATTCTGGTTGCTACCTGGAAGTTCCCGGCAAAAATGACAGTGTGGAGAAAAGGGATTCCCCAGCTGAAAATAAAACGGACACAAGCCCCGTGTTGCGCCGCCGGAAATATTGTCGTCGAATTGTGGTTAGCAGTGACTCTGAGGATGATGTTCCTGAGCCATGGAAATTGACCATTTCCTATTATGGCAGGGAGATTGAACCTGTTGACTACAAAAATCTCTTTGTTCGTCTTCCAAAAGGCGATGGAAGAATTCCTTATTGTCAACTTGCTGGTGTCCTTAAACTTCAGCCAATCGTTTTGGAAAAAAAATTGCGTAACAAGTGGTAGTGTCGTAATGCTTTTTGCAGCTTGATATTTAATAAACTAATATTGGTAAACACTTAACGCTTTCACCTTGTAACAGTGGTTGCAATAATAATAATAAAAAAGCTCCTCTGACTGAACACTACAAGGAAACAAAATGCCAAAACAGTCGAGCAGTGGGTGGAAGCTTACCATAGTGTGATTTAATTAGGCTTAGATTGGTAGAGCAAAAACCCAAATTTCAAAAAGTAAAGGGTAGAAGAAAAAAATGTGACAGATCGTTTCAGAACTTCGAAGATATTCGTGCTCCTCTGGCGCAAAAACCGTGCATCTGATAGTTATCGAAGCGCAGAAAGGATCTATAAACTCTGCCTGTCTCGACCTCGGCTACTGCTTTACACGCTTTCTGTACCTCCAAGAGGCTGCACCTAGGTTTCTCGAGCAGACTCACTGAGTTGCAGGCTGGTCTGTCCCCGGCGTTCCCACTAACCATAACAAGCAGGCTGTTATTTCGCTACCTGTGCAGTCCTGGTGCTCTAAACTCGTCAAAAGCAAAGTATGGGCCGAAGTTCACGGAGTGCACCGATTGGACCATCAGGACGATGACTTCGCGCTTGTGTCGCCAGCGTCCAATCTTCTCTCCACGAACTTTCGGCTCCGACTTTGTATATGACGAGTTTAGGGCCCGTTCACACTCGCGACAGTCGCTGGAGCGACTGGCGACCACTAGTGTCGTCTTCACGCCCGTTTGTTTTCGTCGACTGGCGACCACCAGCGTCGTCTTCACGCCCGTTCGTTTTCGTTTGCACCCAGCCGTCGCTTTTGGTTCCCTTCGCTGTGCTGTAATGGATCTCTATGACGGATTGAGCGAAGAGGTAGAGGTTGTAGCCATCTTGTCGTCTGTAGTGTTGTCTGCGCTGACGACAGGGATACCAACAAGAAAGAAGCGGCGATAGTGGGTGCGTCCGTGCTTGCGCTCTCGCGAAGTCGCCGGCCACACGAGCCGCCTCCTTCCTGAGCTTCGAGCGCGCGATCTGGACTACTACAGAGAGTGAGTTAAGCTCTTTAGATACAATTACGTGCCTATCAGATGATCAAATAGATATTTCATCGCCGCTGTGCGCGCAGCGCTATTTCCCGCGGGAAGCAGTGCCGGGTGTAAACAAAGGCGCGCATCACTTCCGACGAGACTGATTGGCTCCGCCGTCCAGCGACTCGTTTTTGCGACTTGAAAAGTCGGTCAGGGAGTGACTGCCCAAAACCGCTCGCTAGCGACCTGTGTTGGTCGCTCCGCGACCAAAGTCTAGTCGCTCCAGCGACTGTCGCAAGTGTGAACGGGCCTTTAGTGCCCCTGGTGGCTAAAAATATGGAGACTAAACATTATTTCATCCTCCGTCGCATGAGCGCTGCCATCTTGGAGTCGCGTGACGCGGCTGCCATTAGGTAGCCTTCAACTCGTTGCTCCGCTCTTCCATCCGCGCGTTGGCGGATGCGTTGTCTGCTACCTAATTGCATCGCATCATGTGCACAACTTCTGTTCATTTTGTAGCACGATTTGACTGTTCACCGTCGGCGTACCGAATGCGTGTGAAGATTACGCGCAGGAATTCACGTTAGTGCTGAGCCACTTCGATTTTGTAGATTGTAGTGAAGTGGTTGCTGCGCCAAAGTGCTTACCCTTCTACATTTCGTCAAATTCTGAGAATTTTGCGCCAGCACGGATCGTTACGCAGTATAGTGCAAATTTACCGAGCCTTCGATTATCGCCTCAAGTAACTTATTAGTCGATTTGATATCTGTGCCAAACACTGACGATACCCTCGGAAGTCTCCCAATATTTCTCATTTGTGGTCTGGACCAGGGATTTCCCTAGACCCCCCCTAGCCCTCGTTTTTCCGAAGGCACCCCCTTAATTCACAACGACTCCTATATTCGCAATGCCCCCCCCCCCCCCCCCCCCCCCCCCACCCACCCCCCTTTAACCCCCCAAAAAAAAATTTAGACACCCCCCCTGATTTCAATTCCTGGGGAAACCCCTGGTCTGGACTCTGTTCTGGCAGGTTAGTTAGCTTCGTCAAGTGCGCTTCTCGCCACGCTTTGGTGCGCTGCAGTGAAGCGAGAACTTCGCTGGATATGATTGAATTCTTTGGCTTCTCCTTTTAGCGGGTGACCAGTTCCTTCACCGCAGCACACCCGTATGCTAAGTGGAATCGGAGCCGTATATGTAGAGAGTTTGGTCAATGGGAGGCGCGGGCAGAGCTAGGGCGTGCGGCAGACTCGGAAAGAGGGCTTGGCACGCTCTCTTGAACAACCAGAAGCCGAAAAGAATCCCCTAGCGGTGGTAGCCAGAAACAGTTCTGATCCAAGGTCTATGTTCGTATGTGGTTTTAATAAGCGCGTAAGAGTGGAAATGGAGTAACTCTTGGTGGTTGAAAATAGGGTGCACGTGTTGTTTTGATTATGATCATGCAGAAAGATGTAAGAAACGAATGCGCCGCTCAACTCTGTTTTGCGCGGACAGAGTGTGACCGCTCGGACGGTAGATTCCCGGCCCTCGGCGCTTGGCGTACGGATTATGTCGATCGTTCCGCTAGTCGCACTCTTGCACCATCATTTCGGATGAGCGTGATTGAAACATCACGTGTACCATATTTTCAGCCATCGAGAGTTACTCCAATGCAGTTATCAGGTTTGTTTCTCGTGACCACTGCCAGGGTATTATTTCCGGCTTCTGGTTGGTCACATTCGAATTTCTGAAGACGCCCTGGAACACGCCCAGCCCGCTTTCGGCCAATGGCGCCTCCTCATTTGTCTCCTACACTTCCCAACGAATGGCCAAACTTCTACATATACGGATCTGAGTGGAATGCATTCCTCCAGAGCAGGATTTCGCACGCAAACACAGCGCAAACTAAAAATAAATAAATAAGTGAGCGTTAATGTAACAAATTTTCCTTTCAGTAAAAATGTATGGTACTATATATGTTGCATTGTTACTTACAGGAAAAAGGGAAATGCCCGTGCGGAAATATTCTCTCCTGACTAGGAAAAGACTCGCACGGGCGAAGAAAGCGAGTTAAAGACGAGAGGTGCTGGGTGGGTGAGGAGATTTTGGCGATGCGTGTAATAATAACTAACTGCATTGGTTTGAGGAAATGTGTGTTTTGTAGGGGTACGTTAGATGTCTCCTGCCGGGTTTGTTTACCTGTACGTCGATGTAGACACGTACGGAAAGACATGGAAAAAGAAAAGAAAAACCTCACTCCCTAAGCACGAAGTTTGTCGGAGTACTATTTCACTGGTGTCATACATTGGCATCCACATCGTAGCTATGGTTTGGCGCGTTCAGTTCAGTCGAAGTTGTCTCTCATGGAGATTGACGGGCTACATCAAAAGTCACGACGTGAAAGGTGCCAAGATCAGAGTCGAATTCAAAGGTTCAAAGGAGTATATTGGCTTAGCTTTCATACAGCAGAGAGCCTGAGGCAGCCAAAAGGCAGAAGCTCATACAACCAAGTTCTGGCTGCCGGTCCCTTTTGAAGGAACTCTAGCAAGACTTTGTAAGTTCGACGCGTCGCTTTCCTCCAGTCGGGAAGATTAGTTGGTGGTACGTCGTAACCGTTGCCTTAGCAGTCTGTAGAGTGTTGTGAAGTGTGGTTGTAGCGCTATCATATTTTGGACATGCCCAGAGTACGTGTTCGTGTCCTCTAGAATCTTGCAAATGTCGCAGTAGGGATCTATTTTCTCGTGAAATCTTGGGGAGGGTCTTGTGAAGGGACATCGAGCTCGTAAACGGTGAAGGAGGCAAGATACTCTTCGGTTGAGCTTGGACTCCGGGACGAGAGGAGGGGGGTTACTCGCGTCGACTCCGCTGTGGGGGTGTCGCATCCTCTCAATATATGTACGAGTCGTCTGGCCTCGCTGAATCTTGCAATAATAAATAAAAAAAAAGAAAACTTGGGACGTTTTGACGATAAGCCTCTGAGGCAAAAAGCAACAACAAAAAACGGCTTTTTTGTTGCCTTTGATGCCGCAGTGGGAGGGAATCCACTGGAAGGCTAGACGCCAGCTTTTCGCTTCGATTTTGCGGGCTTTATGAGCAGCCTCTTGTGCCAAGGGTTTTCCAGATTTTCCAACTGACAAAAGGCACCGCGAGAATCTAAGAATTACAGCCGCTCTAGGCTGAAGCTCGATTAATGCTCCAAGAGCCTTACAAGTGGCTACAAACTCAGCTGTCGTTGATGTAGTCCAAAAGTTAAGCCTCCCAGCCCGCTGCACTTCAATCGATGGAATCACAAAGGCTGCTGTGGACGTCGCCGTCTCGGGGCTGGTTAACCCACCTGTAAAAAAGTGCAACCAATTGGTATACCTTGTGTCGATCTCGTCTACGACGATCGATCGAGCCACTAAGGAGCTAGGATATCGATCTTTTTTGCTGTAGACATGGGAGGGTGCCCGTGATGTCTAACGGTGGGAGAGTAGTGCGTGTGGCGGCGGTGGTGGGAAGTGTCGTTTAAAGGGATACTGAACCAAAGAATTTAGTGCCCGTAATAAGTGGCGCACGTTCTTTCCACGACTCACGAGCCAGCAGCCGCCGGTGTGCGCGGGCTTCGGGCCAAGGGAGAATAAAGACAGCTTTTCATCTCTGCAAGTGAAAGCTACGTTCTTGTTAGACCAATTAATCGCTTACCTTTTACACCAGACACCACTGTGTAGATGAAAAACTTGTCTTTATTTCTCCTTTGGCCCGAAGCCCATACATTTCATTGTCATCTTAACCGCGAATGGAGGTCTTTGACGTCATTTTTGTTGCGTGCGCTCGCGCACACCGGCGGCTGCTGGCTCATAGAAGAACGTGCGCCACTTATTATGGAAACTAAATTCCTTTCCCAGTATCCCTTTAAGGGGTCCAATCTGTAGCTTAAATTCCGCTACAATCGCTCCAAGGTGGGATGTTCTTCGGGAAAGAAGCTTGAGCAGGTATACGATGCTGCTGAAGGGGCTTCATGCAGTCGTACAACTTTGTGCCGCACTGCTCGTTCTCTTGCAGGAAGCGAGATGGTTGTTGGCCGTGCCTCCACAAGTGTAG